CGAAGATTTGTTTCCCGAGTCGATCACAAGGAAGGTTTAGCCGGATTAAATTATGCGTTTAGTCGATTACGGAAAATAATGAATTAAAGACCTAAACACTCTAATCAATTTTAAGGTTCTTACTTGATTATCTATTATGATTTACTAATGAATGATAAAAAGATAGATGAAATCGTAAAGAAATTTTATAGAAGAGTTAGGCTATCGGGGAATAATTGTTATCAATTCTAATGATAATTCCAAGTTATTAATTGTTCGATTAAGTGATTCGATTAACATACTAATTTAGAGGTTTATATTCAATAACTTTTCGTAACATGAATATAAACATAAATTAGTATATTTTCGTGCCAAATAATACATAAGCAATACAATTACGAACATGCTTACTCGTTTCGAGCCGAGATCGACTAACTTCGCCCCTCTCGGTTTTAAAGTTAATTAAGTAGGTTTAGAAGATGTTTAATCAACTGAACCATAAAAATAAATATAACTCGAAACGATATGAACAATCAACAACAATTCATTAACATCAAACCGAAACAATCATTCCACTCTCCCTAACAAGATTGTTTAGTTACTCATGATAATAAAAACCAAAACCTCAATACTAACCCAAGCCATCATCATTCTTAAGAAAAGATAATGAAGACTTACGATTATTATTGAAGGGTTAATACACCACGAGAACTTAAACCGGAAGAGATACAAATCTTACACTCTTTATTTATGAACATGCATGAAGATAAACTTCAAGAAGAACAATACACAAGAAGAACATAATGAAAGTTTAAGAGATTTTGTGAAAGAAAATGATGATTTTCAAGCTTGGAGTTGTCCCCCTTTTATAGCCAAATAATCCTCTTTTGTAGCTGAAGATTTGTAGCAATAATAGCATGATATCACCCCTTTTTGTTGTCTTCTACGTCATTGATGATATTTGGCACCAACCATCACTAAAATGAGCTTAAAAAGTTCAGCAGCTGCAGAAACAGGGGTAGTAGCGCCGCTACTAGGGTAGTAGCGCCGCTACTATGCCGACAGAGGAAAGGTTGCCCTTGGCGCTACTTAGTTAGCGCCGCTACTGTGTCGGCAACTTGCATGTCTTCACGGTTTTCACTCGTTCGAGCTCGTTTGGACTCGGAATTGAGTTCCGTTTTTTCCTACGCGTAGCTAACGAACCCCTCTATCCAATGATGCTTGCAAACCACACTTTTGCCCAGAATAAGAATTTTGTGGAATTTTCAACCTTTACAGGGTCGGTAACTTGCTCAGCTTTACATTTCAGCCCCATTTGGATTCATCCGAACTCGAAATTGAATTCCGCTTTTTCTCACTTGTCGCTAACTAACTTATCTAGTTAGTTGTTTTTAAATGATCGCATTCCGAGCTTAATCCAATCCTCACGGGGTTTTCAACCTGCACAACAAAAAACAAGAAGAAAACAGGAAAAATACCGGAAAACGAAAGAAAAACACCAAAATGCTTACAAACACATAAAACACACATAAAACAATAAAAAGACTCCAAAACCAAATAAAAGACTCAAATTGGGGAAAAAAGAATAAGAAAATAAACACAAAAAAACGTAACAAAAATAGGACAAACAATGGCCACAGACAATAATATGAATCATAACTCATTATAGAATGAACAACTATGATGAACTCGAATTGGTTTTTGCAGGTATAAGATGGAGTAGTAATACCTAAGTAGTAACAGAAAGCAGTAAGTTTAAACATTGTTAATAATCTTGACTAAAATTTATTAATCTCAATTATTTAAGAGTTTGTATTTAACAATCAATTGAATATTACATCATAATTTATTGAATTAGTAGGCAGCTTCGTAATGATATGATTTGACATGATCCTAGGCTATTTACAACGACCTTTCATGAGGACTTGACTGTAGATCCACATCGGATATTTTTTTTATCCTTATACTTTTTGGTTTTCTGTTTTGATGTTGTTCTATGTACTTCCGACATTGATGTAGACTCTTGACTTTTTAGCTCTCTCTGAGTCATTATATTCACAGGTCGGGGGTGTAACCTCAACCCCCCATCCCACACTGGGATGTTTATATATATATATATATATATATATATATATATATATATATATAAAAAATGATCCTAGGCTATTTGACTCCCAACAGTATAGGCTAATAGGGCTGGGCAAAAAATTCGAACCGAACCGCTGAATCGTAGATCCGAATCGAAATCGAACCGAATTTTCGGTTAACCGGGAGACTCGGTTCGGTTACAAATACCTCAAATGAAGTATTTGCTCGGTTCGGTTCGGTTACGGTTTTTTAAGATTTTTTTACCCCGGTTAACCGAACCGAACCGTATATTATATTAAAATTTATAAAATATATATTATATTATATATTATATATTATAAAATATATATTTTATTAAAATATATATTATATTACATATTATATATTATAAAATATATATCTTATTAAAATATATATTATATTTATATTAATGTTTTCGGTTCGGTTCGGTTCGGTTCGGTTTATTATTTGCGAACAAGCAGATTTGTGTTAGGTTCGCTCGGTTCGGTTCGGTTCGGTTAATTCGCGAATAGTAGGATTTTTTTCGGTTAACCGAAAATTCGGTTAACCGAGATTTTCGGTTCGGTTTCGGTTAGCGAGTTCGAATATTTGCTCGGTTCGGTTCGGTTAGCAAATACCTCAAAAAGTTCGGTTAACCGAACCGTGCCCACCCCTATAGGCTAAGAGATATTGTTGCTTGTATTGTTTAAAAAAAATATGAATTTTGAAGGTTTTTAATTCTGAAATCACTGCTTCTTATTTTGTTGTAATGTAATAAATAAAAATGAATGAGTAATTGTTAATAAAATTATTTCAAAAATAAAATAATTATAACAATAAAAATTGTTTTAGTGTTTTATTTTTTTTTTTTTGAAAAAAATATATCATTATTCATATTTAAAATGATAACGTCACTTACACACTTACCGTCTTATATTATATTTTTTTAAATTTACATGAGATAACTACTTTGTAGTTAAATTAGTTTTATTTACTATTTTCTTAATTAGTATTAATAGATAATTTAATTTTAATTATAAAGATTTAAAAATTATTTATTTATTTTGCAGGTATAATCATTAAGACGTGATTAATTTGATATATTATATGTAAAAAATTATTGATAAATAAAAATATATTAACTTTTAAATATATTTAAATTTAAGTTAGTAAATTTGTTATAATTTTATAGAAACACGAGAAAAAAAAAAAGAAATATTGAAAAAAAACAATTATACCTTATAAACTACGTTTACAATAGAAAATAATCTATCTATTAATATATAAAGAGACAATGATATTTACTTGAAATGATAACTAAAAATTAGTAAAAAAACATTTGGTTTCCGACCTAAAAATTCAGATTTACTATAATTTTTTTTGCCAAAATTTGAAAAATCCCATCCTAAATTAATATAAAAAATCATTTTAGTCAAATATTGCAGCATACCTTTATTAGTTGCATGATTTAAATTTAGAATATATTATATTGACAAAACATGCGCTATTACATTTATTAGTTGTATTGCTTAATTTGGTATATAATATATTTAAAAAAAATTATTTTTATTTAAAATTAAAATTAAAAAAATATTATTACTCATAACTTACGGGTCAATATTAACTTGGACGTAAACGAAATAGTCAATTATTTATAGTTAATAAATTACTCAATAACTTACGAAACAATATTAACTTGAACGGAAACGAAATAATCAATTCTTTATAATTTAATAAATTACTTAACTATTTAATTTTTTAAATTTGAATAGTTTATATAAAAATAAATTTATTTTAACTAATGAAACAATAAAAAAAATATATAAAATATACTTATTATTCAAAAGTTGTTAAATATATGATAACCGCCCACTCGGATTGGACTCCGGCTTGAGCACTATTCCAAAAACTCCAGTGTAGAACGGTACTAGACGCCCAGAAATCTTCTCTCAGACAGACGCTTCTGGAGCTGAAACCGGAGGCCGGACGACAACCCCCCCCCTCTCACCGATAACACTCGTATCCCAACAACCCAATTAACCGCACAACCTACCAGCCTCCAAAGCCTCACTTCAACAACCGGACAAAGCCCATCCCACCATAGTCCCATCAGCCCACCACCCCATCAAGCCCGAATCACCAAATCAGATATAGAGAGACGAAGAAAGGGAAGAGGGGAGGGGGCATCTTGCCTCAACCCCGACCTGCACCAAGAAGGCGGGTCGGAGTCCGACAACTTGTCTAGCTCAGAAATAAAAAATTCTCGTGTTGCGACATAGGCACATAGCAGATTTGGCGAGCCCTACACCGGCGGGATCTTTGGCTCCAAGAGAGGCGGGCATCTCGGGCAGCAGTGACCAAAATCGGGCGCACAAAGAGCCCTGAGGAGAGGAGGCGCAACGACAATGGACGGCTTTGCGAGGCTAAGTATTTTTGGGGAAAAATATATTAGAGAGAGAAATTCAGCTTTGTGTTGCGACCGAATAATTAATATGTGTTGTTGAGCGGTTCTTAGTTCACCGTTGTCGCCTTGTGTTCTGTTCTCTCAATTAGCACATTCAAAAATTCAAATTATATATAGGAAGGATTATTTTCGGAGAGATGTTGTGGTTTACAGAATCATTCCATCATAGTTTGTAACCGTTAATCAACAATCCTCGACGGTCACATGATGATCTAATGGTTACAAACTCCGATAGAATAATTTTATAACGGGACCGTAACATTTCCCTCGTCGGTCAAACTCAACGGCCAAAATGTATAAAATCACCGTGGTGTGAAAAAGAGGGTTCTCATTTTGTATGCAAAAGGGGATTCAAACCAGAAAAGCCGAACCGGCCAATATCCTTAAACCCTAGCACATACCCTGCACTACCGTCTACCGTCGGTATAAATATTGCTGGGAACCGTACCTGTTCAACACATCCCAAAAGATGGAGACGCTCGTAGCTCGAGGCTTCTCGAGCGCACCGTTGATCCGGCCGTGCAATCTTGCTCCCAAAAACCTTCAACCATTCCATTGCATAAAGCAGACTCATTTCATTCGCCGCCACCAACTCGGCTTTATATCCGGTAATTGTCATTTCTTGTTTTCCCCTTGTTTTCTTTGGATTGGTTGATGGGAATCGCATAGATCTGGTGTTTGATTTCTGATTTTTTTTTTTTATATATTTTCATCGTGTTTTTTTATCATTTTCTGGTTAAGCTTTGAAGTTTCTCAGTTTCTCGGAGTGATGTAAAATTTGGGATTTGATGGAATTATGGTGCCTGCTGTTTTTCTCTCTCCCAGTGTAGCAATGGGTTCAGATCAAAAGAAGATTTTGGATATTTATCTGCATATCGAATAGATAATTTCAATTGAACCCTGTTTTTACGGGGAAGAATTATTTTCAATTTTCATCTGTAGAAATGCTTCATGCTAAGTTGTGTACCTACAGGACTGAGACGCTTCCCCATCTTACCTTTGATGTCAGCCACCTCTGATGATACTTCTAAAGGTACAACTCCTTATGGAAAAGACGAACTAGAAGCCGATGGTTCGGTTATTGTGGAAGACAGCTACCCTGGTGATAGGAAAGACGATTATGACATAAATAGGCAGCCACAAGAAGGCTCTTTGATTGATATGGAGATATTTAAGTTCATGGAGGATCTTAATATTAAGGTGTTGATCATTAATTCTTTGTGCTTGCTTTGGATAGTATTCCTAATTACATCTTGCATCTTCAGTTGATTATATTACGAGAAACTTTATTTTTTTAAATGGTCTAACATTGAAATTGAGGGTTCAAACCGATAAGATTTGTTGTCTGGATTGTCATTAGGACACTGTGAATGTCAAGTTTGGTTGCTGTGATGATTATTATCAACTCTTTGAAGCATATGAATGCTACATGAAACGTCGGCTATCGAGTCGATCTGAGCGGTTACCTGAGCAACCTTATGTTATTAAGTCTAGATTTATTTCATTAATACTAATTTATTTTATTTATTTATATTTTGTGGTGGCCATATATATTTTTATTATATTTCTTAAGTTCCAAAAATGAAACTGCAGGGTATGGAAAAAATGAAGTTGCAGGGGAGTTTCATACCGTCTTTTGAGCATAAAACGTAATATATTCCTTTTAAATCAAAGGGTTCCAATAAATATTGTTTTCTTATAAGTTGAGCATCTTATTGGAAGTGGAAGTCTTTTCTTCTACGAAGCCTATAATCATTTGCTAATGTTAAAATGCTGATGTTGTCGCTATTAAATTGTATAAATTCTTAACAAATGTGAAAAGCCGTCAAGGTATATATATATATATATGGTGGTTAGTAGTATAATGCGGTTAGATTTATGTGGGTTCGTCAGGCATTTTTTTCACCGTTTTCAATTAATACTCATGATTGATTATGAGATTGCAATGTTTTACTGAATATGTTCAATTTTCAGTTTGACTATCAGGATACATATTCACTACTTGTTTTCAGTGGTGGCGGTGCTGTTGCACTCTGGTTAGCTACTGCTGTTGTTGGAGCCATTGATTCTATACCACTGGTGGGTATTTTTTCTGTTCAAAATTACAAGCATATATATATATATATATATATATATAAAGGACGCAAGCTAGGAACACTGCTTACTAACTGCAAGTTCAATTTGATCAATTTTTAGTTGCCAAAAATGTTGGAACTTATCGGATTTGGCTACACGATCTGGTTCAGCTCCCGATATTTGATTTTCAAGGTTGGCAACCTTTATCGCTCTCATTTTGGAATGCGTTGCCTTTTACCTATGACTCTGCTTCGTTTGATATTATTTATCAGTATAATGATTATTGTTATTATTTTCTTGTGGCAGGAAAATAGAGATGAATTGTTTTCCAAAGTAGAACAAATAAAGCAGGAGGTGATTGGTTCAAAGGACTTTAAGTAGTGAATTAAGTAAGAATTTTATTATCTTAGCTGTTTCGATTTCCAAATTATACTACATTTTCCATGTCCTCGTACACTCTGTGGTACACGCGTCATTAAGCCCATACTTCTGTAGAACGTGGCTATGAGAAAAATTGTTAATAGCTTGTTTTGGATGTCATTAATCCGATACTTCTGTAGAGTGAGGCTATGAGTAAAACTATTAGTAGCTTGTTTTGGGAAATAGCTTGTTTAGTTGAAAATTCCATGTACAAAGAATTAAGTTTTATGCATATGCACATTTTCTCATTTGGGGGAAGGGCTAAATGGACTTTTCATCCGAAGATGTTTTGTCGAAACTATATTCTATAATGTCGCGAATGCTCATTATGTTGTACTAATGTTGTTATCTCTCAATGGTACCTTGTTAGTTTTCAAATACTATACAATGATTGGGCATATTATGCTTACTTGTCATGTTAATCTTGTTTCAACATTTAGAAAGATGGTTAAAGGGCTTGTTTGTTTTTTGGCGTTTTTGGGGCAAACCGCTGTTTTAGCGGGTTTGACCAATCTCAAAACGCCAAAATAAAGTTTTCATGTTGTTTGGTTAGTTGGCTTATCATTTCATCCTTTTCTGTCAAAACGCCAAAAAGTGAAACGCTGGAGATAGCAGCGTTTTCAACTAGCTTTTACACATTCTTAATTTTTTTTAACAAGTAATTATTCCCAATTTGTGAAAAAAAAAAAAAATATTTATTCCCGCAAGTTGATATAGTTGTTGATAACCTTTTTGTTTTTTTTTTTGTTGATAACCTTTTTTCCTTCAACTTTTAATTGGCTTTTTCCTACAGTTTTTTTTTTTTTTTTTTTTTTTTTTTTTTTTTTTTTTTTTTTTTTTTTTTTTTTTTTTTTTTTTTTTTTTCTTCTTCTTCAGATATCAACTTAATATTTAATACAATTTAAATTCTTCACCTTTAATATTTTAATTAGTTATTTTTTATGTTGATTTTTTTATAAATATGAAAACTTAATTAAAATTACTTGATCATATCAAATTTATTTTTATCATCATTTATACAAACTATTTTATTTTATCAAATTAATAATGCCACATATAATTTTTCAAAATCAATCCGCTAATTTTACCAAACAACATTTTGCAGAACCGCTAAAACTAACCGCTGGTCAAAATAGTTAACATAATTCGCTGGTCAAAACAGCTATAACAATCCGCTAACAGCTAACAGCTGATTACCAAACAAGGCCAAAATCAATTTTTTCCTGCTCATTTTTAGCTACATTTAGAAAGAAAGTTACATTTTGTATTAAAAAAGTAATTGTATTTTGTTATCTACTTTATTTCTTAATAAATATTACTAACTAATCATAAAAAACTAAATGATATATGGAGGTATATACCTGTAAAAGTTGGTTATAATTAACTTAGAGACTAACTCTAGTATGCTCAAGTTTAATGGTCCACCAAAAAAAAGGTGAAAATAGATAAATTGACCATTTAATATATATGCCTCAAAGTCTCGTACACCACATGTGAATATAATTTACTTTATTCATCTTTTTCTATAAAATATCTTAATTATAGTAATAATTAAGATTTTTAATTATAATTAATTTCTCTACCGTTTAATAGTTACCTATATTTACATGTCAATTACATAGTGAAATTATAAGGAATTTTATCGTTTATTCATCTATATATATATAATTACTAGCTAATGAGTATTTAAGAAAACCTATTAAATTATACCTATGTAGCAATTTTAACATTTTCCCTCTAAAAATCGTTACTTTTGATTATTTAATCTTTCATTTAATTAATAAATAATCAACACCTTAATCACTTTAAAATTACAAAAAATATTTTAAACTTTTGATTACTGACAGTTGGTCATATAATGTGTTGACCGTATAATTAGATGTTATTATTGTGGTTACATGTAAATTAATTTTTTTGGAGAATAAAAAATATATATGAAATTCTTAAATAAATATAAAATAATTTACAAAAAAATACGTACCAAAATATACATTACATCCAATCTAATACACGCAATTTAAAAAAAAATATTCCAACTCTTTTAATTGTAAATTTGGTCTGCAAGAAAGTAAAAGAAAAATCATTAGTTATTAAAGGCATAAGCGTTTTTATATTTGTATTTAGCCATACAAATAATTGAAAAACGTATTCTCAGAATACGTTTTTCATGTTAAATAAAGTGGTGGGTACTGTCCACCGTGGGCAGGTGAACGGCACTATGTTAAACCTTGCCTCGCACAAACACGTTAAAAAGTAGATGTACAAAGGGCAAACTGCAAACGAGCCAATTTGCATTTAATCAACCTTAAAACCCCCCAAAATAGAAACACTTGTAAATCGTTATTTAAGAAGACTCCAACAGTAGAGCACCTAAAACACGTATATATGTCCCATTGTTTTAAACAACTTGCTATGTAGTTTTTTTTTTTTTCTTTTAAAAAAAACGCGGCGTAGTTTTATATATTTAGCGATTTTCCCCAAAAAATTACGCGAAATATTGAAACGGCACATTTTCTTACGCTATTTTGTGCTATTTCACGCTATTGTGCGCTACATTACGCTATATTTTTGTAATGACACTTGAGCAATAAAATATTCAAAATCTCGTATTATTTTAGGGATCAAGTCATAGTTACAAATGACAATTAAAAATTAAAAATTTTGATAATGATTTCAAATTAAATGTTTGAAAATACAATGTCCTAAGTTGAATAGTGCAATGCTTTTTGGTTATATCATTTTATTTTTTGATATTTGACATTTAAATAAAAAAATAAAAAGTTCATATCTAGTTGTTAGAATTAAGTTGTAGTTAAATAAAAAAAATAATAATTAAAATACTTATACAAAATTATACTATAACTTACCTCATTATATTTTTGTTGTTTGTATTTACTTTTTAGTACATTCGATTTATTATTAAATATTTATATTATGATGATATTTACATTAAACATTTGTAAGAATTAATACTGAGAATTTATTTTTGAAGTCATTCAAATACTATGATAATTTTTGTAATCAACCATTCATTTTTATAATATGCAAATATACTTGTAATATTTCTAGTAAAAAAAAGTATCACCAAATACTATCGTATAAAGACCAAAACGCGACGCATTACGCTATACGCGTTTTAAAACACTCATATGTCCAAACATGAACGAAAGCAAAACCATCAAAACCTCCCAACCTCTCGAGCCAAAACATCAATCCTGCCCTCTAAGTAGTTCAACTTCTTCAAAATATCAGGCGCAACGCGAGCATCGAATTCTTTTCTAACTGAATCAGCTCTATCATCTATTCTCAGACCAAAGCCACTAATCTTGGTCTCTACTGCATCTACACTTTTGATGAAATCTTTTTCTGAATCTCCCCATATCCTGTCGGCGCAAGCAACTAAAATGGGTGAGATTAAGATTAACAAGCCTACAATTTTGCATGAAGTCCATGCTACTCTAGCTGCCCTCGGTAACAGAGGTGCCGGCATGATTTGTTGCAACACCCTTTGGATCTGCAGTCTGCATAACACAGAAAAATGGATACAAGAGTATTATTGTATATGTAAATGTAAAAAAACTTGAAGCCCGATAATCCAAACACATCGGATTCTGTTAGAAAAATGGTCCATTAGAAAAAATGGCCTCAACAACTAAGTGGTGCTAATAAGAAAAATATGCATGGTGTGGCCTATTTACAACAAGAGATGTAAGCTATCCACCAAGGGCCAAATGCAAACAAGTTATAAGTTCAATTTCTGAGCATCGATAAGATGATCAGGAACTAAGTTAAGAGTACACGATCAAGACAAATTAAGAAGACTTGTAAGGATCCCATGTAGTTGTTATCAATCAAAAATTACTGTGAACGATGAAGAAGTGTGATGAGATTATTGCATGAGGGGCACAATTATAAAAATCAAGAAAGGTAATAATCTTTGCCATTAGTGGAGACACAATCTTGTATTGTATGGAGGGAAAGGAAAATCAAATTACCTGCGCAAGCGAAAATTCTTCGTCATCGAGACGTTATTGACCAGGAACAATGAAGTCAAACAGAACTGAGAAAAAGAACCAATAAATATGTTTAAGTTCAAATGCTGATTTGGCACAAGTTCTTCTATATAAGAACCAACACCTTAATTGTAAGCTAAAAGTTAAACGCATAGTTGTACGGTAGCCCAAAATTTCATGAGGACATCAATCTCGTTAGTACACACCTAGTGAGGAAAGAGAACAAACAACCAAACAACTCAATAATTAATAAAAAATAATCAATCGCCGAATTTATCAATGTTATGTTAATTTACAGGTAAAGAAAGGTGGCGTGGTATCTATCACTTAATGGCCACTGAAACACTATACATCATGACATGCGAGTAGAAATGAGACTCGAGCTTCTCGGATATATCCAAACAGAGCCAATGAACTTCTTCCATCATCAAATATGCCAAAACGCTATGGCCAAGGATTAAATGAGCCTAAATGAATAGATAAATGCAGTCATAGTTGCACATGCTCCCTCTGAAAGTAAGGCCATAGAACTGCAATAGATAAAAAGTTTCCCTAGTCATGCCCTTGTAACCTGAACTTTGTCCTCTCCCATGATCATTTCCCCGTGATAACTATTATTTAGGAGACAGAGCTAGCCCGATACAGTTACTTATTAACTCTAACTAGCCCAAACATGTGCAGAAGCAGCACCCAACTAGAAAGATAAAAATTTAACCTTTGCGATCTTCACCTTCTTGTACGCAACGCAGCAGCGTTTTATCCCTTGAGAGAAGAGAGAGACGGAGGTTGTAATTGTTAATAAGAATTTACAGGGAAAACGGAGATTGATTTATTTAATAAAATCATGAGCGTTGATTTAGGTGCGTGCGAGGAAAAAACGCAGAATCCGGCACCTTTCGTTAATCGAAGATACTTAAAATCTTGTACCAAAAAAAAAAGAAGATACTGAAAATCTTCGTACCCCTTTAAACCCTTTAATTCCGGTAACTCACGCCATTTTCAGAGGGCTATTTAATTTTATAATATTCTCACCAGTCACCAGCCACCCCTTTAAACCCTTGGAAACAAACACTGAAATGCAAATCTCCGACTTGGATCAGTACGTGCTATCGGCCGCCGCCGCTCGCCGCCGTGCCATCCGAGAACACGTTAACGAGAGGAGCGATGCCCGGTGGTTGAAGGAGCCGTTGTGGAGGCTTATGTTTCGATTGCTTCTCACGATCATGGGGATCGTCGTCTTGGTCATGAGCGTCATGATCGCGGGATACGCAGCGTCTTCGCACGTGGTGTGGTGGTGGACCGGCCACGCGCCGATTTCCGTGGAATTTCCGAAGAACTCGACGGTCGCGTCGCGTCTCCTGGCCCGTCTGGAGGGTCAAATCGGTCACGCCGAGATGAAAATTGATGAAAGCATCTTTATGCTCCGGCGAGATCTGGAGAAGAGGATGGCGGAGGACTGGGACGAGGTGGATCTGAAGCTGGCGGATATGGCGCGCGTTCTGGATAGGCTCGCCCAGAAGCTTGATGATGGGTGCAGGAAAGTCTCGATTGGGGTGGATTTTGATGGGGATTATGCGCAGGGTTCGACGGGCGGGCGGATCTTGAGGCATTCGGAGCCTGATGATGTGTTTTGGAGGCGGGCTTTGTGGTGGATATATCCGCGGATGGTTAGTGTCGAAGCGGATAAGATGATCAGTCCCAGTTTCGGGTTGCCAGGCCATTGTTTTGCTCTCAAGGGCACCAGCGGCTTTGTCGACATCAGCCTCAGTGCTCCGGTTGTCCCACTAGCTGTCACATTGGACCATCAAATTAAGGTACAGTTTCTTATATTTTATTTTTTGTTTGTTTATGGTTTAAGAGTTACATTGATTTTTTGTTGGGTTGTTGTAACCAACCGGTTTGGAGTAGAGATTAGGGTTGCAATTGAATCGAGCTCAAGCCAATAGTTTGCTTTATCGAGCCGCTCAAAATATACGTTAAATTACTAAAATACCTTTATTATATATATTAGCTTAGGTGTTTGATGGTAAATTTACCTTGTCACTTAAAACTTTTCCAGCCGAACTCGAGCAAAGCTCGAGAATTTTGATTTCGAGTCGAGCTCGAGCCGAGCTCGAGGTATTGTAATTTTTCTTCGAGTCAAGCTCAACCGGCTAAAAAAAAAAAGAAAAACTCAATCATACTCGATAAGGCCAATGCTCGACTCGGCTCGACTCGTTTGCAGCTCTAGTGGAGATTCACTGTCCATGCTTTTGTTTGGAAATTGGATTCGTTTGCCTCTTCTATTTTTATTTTTTTTTTTAATCTTTTTGATAAAGGATGAGAGAGAATTGGGACACTTGTTTCATTTTCATTGGACACTATTAATTTTATATAGTTAGATAATTATAACTCAAATTATGGATATTACTTTATATTAAAAAATAAAATGAAAAATATTAAAATTCGTTTTTTTTCATTCTCTACAAATAGAGACCACTCTTGATATGTTTTGGAACACAATCGAAATTATTATATTAGGTTGGTTTGTAGATAAAATAATACCAAAAAATATATTGTAAATAATATTTAACAAATAAATAAATAAAATAAAATAAATATTATGTTGAATTGAGTTGGGTTGAGTTGGGAATAAAGATAGGTAGATTGTTATAAGTTGGGTCGTGTAGGGGGAAGAAAGAGAAATAATTTTTTATTATTGAATTGGGTTGGATTGAGTTGTTGATAAATATAATCTAAGTTCTCTTGAACTACACAATAATAGGGCAATGTTATTTCTTCCTTAAAAAAATGAAACTTCAATAAATTGGGTTTCGGGGTGTATTTTGAAGGTTTACCTCGAACATTGGGATTTCTGGCCAAATAAATACATTTTGTCATAAATTTAACTCAAGGACTTTAAAGCGAATTGTGCTAGTTAATCTTCAGCCAATCAACCCTGACATTTGGGTCCATCTTAAAAAATTAAATTTACATATGCAATAATAATGGAAGTGGTTTATTTTGACCCCAATGACTGTAATTTGGGTATTTCCCTATGGGACAGAGCTTATAAACTTGTTTTCTCTTAATTTTACTTGTATATATTCAAACTTTGTTTCCACTTGCAATTTGATCTCTATATGCACCAGGGTCGTTCCCTGCTTCTTGTATCACTAATATTTGTTTTTATATGTGAAAAAGGGCACAACTGATGATGATTGGCTAGATGCTCCCAAGCAATGTAGAATTTATGGATGGATGCAAGGCAAAGACCCGGTTGGCAAGTTTGTGCTGACCGTGTTTACGTATCATGTAGAGAAGGGCCACACGTTTTTCGTGGTGTCCTCTATGCATGATGTTGTGATCGACACAATTAGGTTTGAGTTCTCTTCCAACCATGGGAACCCTTCTCATACGTGCATCTACCGGTTGAGGGTACATGGTCATGAGCAAAATATATCCTCTTAACTAGTGTTTTTAGTAGTTATTCGTAGGAATTGTTTTAAGTTATTTGAGAGACATGGTGTAAATTTTTAAGCATTTGTTGCTTTCCTGATATCCTTAATTTTTTCTTCAGTTTATTTGAATATCCTACTAAAAAATAACACGATAAATGATAAACTTTCTGGATCTTAATTGCATGTGATGTACCACCAAAAATTGCTCAGTTGACCTGCTCGAGCAGATAGCTCGTGTAAGGCCGGTCCAAGGGATTTATGCCCGATTTATGTTATTTAAAGATATATGGTATTGGTTAAATACCTATAAAAATTATATTATTTCTTAAAAGATATCCAATTAAAATTGTGTATATCCACACAATTATTATGGAGGATTAGACTACTAGGTTATTAAGTAAATATTGGGGAGTAAGTCATTAAGTCTCTTATAAATAGGGGTTTCAGTGAAATTCTAATTCTAAGCTCTCATTAAAACTATTCAATATATTACTCTCGACAAAAATATTTCTGACTTCCCAACGCTTTTGTAGGTTGATCCAGGCGATCGAGACGAGGTGGTGTGGTTCAACTGGCAATCTTAGGGAGCCTATATTTCGATCACATTAAATTGTCGTCGCTTGAGGGACATATCTCAATCTCTATCGAAAAAACAAAAGAGGAACTGAGGACCTATCAACAGGAAAGGCCAGCCACACAAAATATTGGCACGAGCACTTCCATCATTAAGCACTGAATCCTCCATGGTTCACTCCAAAAAAAAGCCAGAATCGGGACCTTAGGATATGACCGTCCAGGGCAGCCAAAATGCCATGGTGGCGGCGGGTATGGCTTGAGAGGACGTTGGCTGAATTCTAGTCGAGGTTGCAGTGGGTCTCGAAAAACTTGGCCATACGCAACCTTACAACCTCCCCCACAGCTTAGTGGGGCACGTCCAAAGGGGCTTCTGGCCTTCGACGGCAAGCATGCCCAGTCGTCCTCTATGCTCGGTTAAACTTGGATTGAATCAATTTTTATATCATCTGAGCGACATAGTCCGAACTAGGATAAGTTGTTTCATCACTACGATAGTCCGAACTAGGACCATGTGAAACCTATTTCACTATTATTGGCGCCATCTGTGGGAACCGTTCAAAAGGCCAGATCTGCAATCATGGTGGATGATGTTCATGTGCAAAATATGACATCCACGTTTGATGAGGCGTGGGTCAACACGAGGCCCTAGGAAGCAGGATCTCCACTCGACTTTTCAGCCGACTCTCAAGATCTAAGGACCCCTCCACCTAACAACCCAGGTGTTGAGAGCCCCCCGCCGGTTCCACCAACCACTGTTTCTCGAGTACGCAAGAGGGCGCTAGGTAGGCAAGAGCCGTGGTGATTGAGTTTGTCCCGAGCCAGTTGGAAGTTGCCTAAACTCAACTTATGGGACCACATAAGAATCCCTCGACAAAACAACTCATCACGACCACCAAGGAAGAAGTTATGCGAATGTTGGCGAACGCTCGAGCTGATGAACGAGCTCAGTTGTAGGCCCAACAAGTAAACCACCCAACTACGGCAACGAATACCATCTCTACGGTGACTAGGAAAGAAACGGAGCTGGAAAAGTCCAGCAGTCGAGCAATTGAGGTGGATAAGGATCGAGCTTTGGAGAATATGGCGGAACAAATTCGACGACTCCAAGCGAAAGTCGAAGGGAGGAAGGTAGGGCGTGCATGAGTCCACCCGTTCTCTCACAATATCTTACGCGCCGACCTGCCCACGAACTTCAAGGAGGTTACTCTTACCTATGACGGATCCTCGAAAACATGTCGGTGTTGTTGGTTTATTCTGATGCGGTGAATTGTCGAGCTTTTCTCGGCGACCTTGACGGGAGGAGCACAAGACTGGTTCCATCAACTCTCCCCAGGTTCGATTGCCAACTTTGAGGCGCTATCGAGCTCTTCTCTGAACCAATACGCTAACACTATAACACCGGAGAGAACTTACGTGACTCTGATGGCTATGAGGCAAAAAGAGGGCGAATATTTGAGGAGTTATGTCGATCATTACAATAAGGCGTGTACCGAGATTGTTTCAGCTTCATATAAGATCAAGGATGGAGGATGAGAAGTCTGAGGGCGAGAGTGTGTAGGATCTCCTTGGCTAAGAAGAAGGGAATGACATATGATGAAGTGCTAAGGCAATGTCGGAAATATGTGAATTTGGAGGAAATAGAAATTGAATTCTCGAAGCTCGAACGAACAACCCAAGCGGAGGGAAAGAAAAAACGGGTTCTTGAAGACGGTAGCATCAGCATCAGAGATAAATTACCCTGGTATATATCAATTAGAAAGTGGTTTTCAAAAACATACAAGTTGTTGAAAAAATCATTACAATGTATGATAGTGAGGTCGGTCATCATATTCAAGTAGTTCTTGGATATGCAATTTGAATAAAAACATACACTTACTAAACCTTTAACTCTGTCTTGACGTCGCATTCTTAGCTGCACCTACAGGTTATTATTCTTAACAAGTGACCTCGGTGCAAGAACACTCATAATTCATCTAAAAACCTCACAAAGAAAGATTGTATGCGAACCCACTTCTAGCAAACATCGGAAGGCCTTAGGAACCAAAAAAAAACACTTGGGACTTTTCTTACCTAATAACTAAGAAAAGCTATAACTGACCTTAAGCTCCCCTCAGACCTACTCATCCCACCAAACAAAATTAGTTAATTACAAGATTAAGCCATCATAATCAAGTACTATGTTCTAAAATTTCTTTACAGACACAATATGATATTGTTCATGAAGAAGAAGGACGTCTATTAATATCCAAAACCAGGGGAACTTAATAAAGACCGATGTACTTGCAGTTTTTCAATAAACGACTACCATTGGCAACATAGCCAATTAACTTACTAACAAAAGAAAGCATGATAATATATATCCCCATCCAACCAACAGTACAGTTCAGAGCTAGTGATCACTGGTTACCCCAAGATTTTAGTCCGTCATCGTCACTTCTCTCATCAACCCTGTTCAATCCCTCGTACGAGCCTCCGATTTCCCCACTCGTCAAGCGGCCGATAACATCCTCCAAAACATAAGCCCTCCTGTTCAAGTCATTCAGTCTCATCTTGATTTCCCGCCTTTTCTTCTCCAATCTCCCATCAAATTCATTCACGACCCCATTAGTTCCATCCCCAAAGTTCCCGTCAATTATGTCAACTCGGGAATCCGTGGCTCTCAGAGCATCAAACGGGTCGATACTCGTTTCCTCGGGGCGAAACAAGTCTCTTGGTTCCATGTACCAATGCACTAGAAACCACGAAATAATGAATATAGCCACGATCTTACAAGCAGCTACGCCGATTGACCTCTTCTCGCGTTTCAGGTCCTTTCTCCAGGCACGATATGCCGCCTCCCACAGAACCTCTTCTTCGGGGTTTATCTTTATCTCTGCAGCCGCGTCATTGCCGTCCACCAGTGTTTGATCGGCCCTTTGACGGCGAGTAACGGTGGTTCCTTCATTCTGTAACACATCCATTCTGAGGCAGCGATGTGGAGTGATTAGTAGATCGAATCTTGCCGGATAGATGCAAGGAAATTTTGGGGCCGGTGATCTCGTTTACCTTTTCCTTCTTTACATTTTACACTTTACACGCCTCTTTTTCAAGTTATTTTCCTTCGTTTATATTGTTTAGCTTTATCTATGGGAAATACTTTGTGTAAAATATATAATAAAAAATAATAATAAAAAAAAAATATATCCGCTCAAATCAATTTTTTTTTGTTAACTATAGTTAATTTTTTTTAAAAAAAGAAGTACAATTACTTATTAGTGAAATTTTGATTGTATATTAAAATAATATTTAAAATAAAATAATTAAAGTTGATTTGATGTGAAAGCATGATAGAGATAATAAGAAATGATAGTTAGAACTATGTGAGTGAAATAACAACTCCTTCTTACTATTAGTACGTATCCCGTGCAATGCACGGGACAAATATATTAAATGAGTTATTTTCACAGCCTTGTCCGTTTAAGTCTAAAAAATAATAATGTTATTATCTATTTTCTACTTCTTTTAATCAACGTTAAGTCTAAAAAATTATTAAGCCACCTTCTGACAAATATGTATGGAGTTATGTGTTTGTGTCTCATAAGTCACAAACATTATGAATAACATTACAAATTATTCATTCAAACTTTTATTCATTGCAAACATATTAAAATAGTTTATATAACATCCATTAAATACCACTTTCAATATATTTATAAATAAAAAGTACATATAATTTATGGTGTGTTCAAATTTAAATAACTTTTTATGGGCTCAATTTTAAGTCATCCAGACATTTGGTCAAACGCATAAGTGTGTTCAAATTTAAATCATTGGCATTTTGGTCCGTTGAAATTTAAATCATCTACCATGTTACTGTGATGTATATTATATATATACAATTTTTTAACAAATAATATGTGCTTTATAAAAATAATAATAATAATTTCACAAGATTTTAAACGTAAAATTTGGTTTTTAATCACAATAATAAAATCATGGTAAGTTGTATTGAAAAGGTGTTATTAGATAAAACAATTAACTAAAATAATTAAACAAAATACTTGATGAAATAGAATGCATTAATTACTTTTGACTTTTCTTACTACTAACTAGTATGTATCCCGTGCGATGCACGGGTCAGATATGTTAAATGAGTCATTTTAATAGGACATGTCCGTTTAGGATTGAAAAACAATAGAGTTGGATTAACTTCTTTTACTCACGTTGTTTTTTAGTAATAACATTAAACTCGAGCATATTAGGCATAGACTATGAATTAATATATTATTACACCGAATCATTTATACTAATAAAAATCTGATTTTTGTATATCAGGGTGAATGTCCTGAATCTCCAAAAAATTACGTGTCAGTTTCCATTGTTTTTCCGCATTCGTCATTACGACAGGACGATGACTCGTTATATTTTCTGAAAAATCAATAAAAGACATTTTTATTATTGAATATATCATTAAGAACAAATCAATAATTAAATTTAAAATATAAAAGAAAGATATATAAAAAACTGTTTTTAGTAATATTGTAAACAATTAATATTTTCATTAATTATTAAAAATAGTTATAAAGTAAAAGAATATTAACAGTAATTTAGAGATCATCACAGCGTGAATCCCAAACAAAATCTGACACTAATTTAATATTGTCCCAATATTATTAAATTTTCCATAATAAATTCATATGTTCGGTCCAATGCGCCTATTTTTCCGTGCCATAATGGGTGACCCACATACATTAAACAAAAGTTTTCACACCTCTAAAAATGTCCCATAAAATTGGCTCTATATACATTTATGTGAATGTATCCAACCCAGAAACATATATACCACAACAGACAGTTTAAATTTGGTCAACACGATCCAACTGAACTGGTTCACTGATGCCTATAAAAAGGCAACAATTCCTAATTTTTTACGGTTTTCCTCAAACCATCGAGCCGGCGCTCATTTCTATGACATTTTTTATTGTTTATCTTTTCAAACGATTCACAATCTCTTTGAATAAATTGTTTTTCATATGAAAAATAGATAAACAGTTACATATTGAGTATGACATATTGCGGTTTTTTTTCCCCTTCAAGTTTTGTTTGTTTTTCCCCAAAAAAAAAGTAAAAATGTGTGTGTGTATGGTTTTTTTTTTTTTTTTTTTTTTTTTTTTTTTTTTTTTTTTTACATTTTTGTAACAGTACTTTGTACATTATACATGAAAATAGATAAATTTTGTGTTATTGTAACATGTTTTTTTTACACATTGACTTTTTTTAAAATTCAAAAAACTTTTCAAATGCAGGATTAATGAAAAATTGTGAAATAATTTACCACTAATAGTAGAAACGAAATTTATTTTTGGGATTTTTCATTCGTTTTTTATATTTTTTCTTATTGCTATTATATCGTAATACATTCAATATTTTTGGGGTTACCGTAATATGATGTCGTTAAGGATTTGAAGAGCCAAGCAATCATGATCAACACACCTGAGAAAATTAACCAGGTGACTGGTTTTTTGCAACTTAGACCTGATATTCTTAGAACTTGGGCCTTCAACATGAAAATAGAGGAGGCACGAACAACGCCTTTTTGTTTCATTCAATTCTAATTAACCAAAACATTTGAATCTTAAAGATAAGGTATAATGAGTAGATAATCATTAAGATAATTAAATAAAGATGGAATATACCAATAAAAAAAGAATCTGCAGACAATTATTCTTTTAAATGTTTAAAATTTTTTGACCGAAAAATTTCAAATTATGTTTGGGCGAGATTAAATTTTCAAAAAGAGTTACTATGTTTAGTAAAATTTTAGGCATAAATTTTAATTATGTTTTAGTTACTATTTTAGATTTTTTGGTTGTCTATTTATATTTTAATAGATTAAACATTAAATGTTCTCCACTTTAAAAATTAATATATTTGATGTTCTATTTACTTCTTTAGAAAATTAAGTATTTTTTATACATTAGCAATAAAAAAAAAATTTAAAACTGTTCGTTGTATACAAGGTCAATAAAATATTTAACAACATACTTTTTTGGTTTTAAAAAAATAATGGTCAAAACTTAAAACTTATTAAGTGATTTTTAAATATTTCAATATTTATTCGTAAATGTCTAACAATTTAGTTGTATTTGTTTTTGGTTTTTGTATACTTCGTTTTTTATGAAAGAAGACCAAGTTTTAAGTTTTATTTTTTCTATTTGTACAATAAGTATTTTATTTAACTGAAGTATATGGTATATGGGATTCAATGTGCAATCAAAATATATGTAATTATGCTTGATTTTTATTAATACGATTTCATGTCAAATATGGGCGAAATTCAAGGCTATATACTAAGTTTCAAAATTTAGCTCCACAAATTATGGAATCATTGTGTTCAGATTGCACTTAACAAAATTTCAAAAAATACATTTAGGCGGATTTCCAAATTTTTCGAATTTTTTTTACTATATTTAGTAATATATTTAGGCGGGATTTTTGGTGATTTTTGAGTTACTATTTTAGGATTATTTAGGTTACCTCTTTATATATTAATAGATTCTAGTAAATATAATACCTTTTATATAAGTATAGATTTCCAGTAAGAAGTATGTCATTTGCGTACAACACAAGAAACACCACCACGCTTGTTCGTTCCATTTTTGTCGTGTTTTCCTTGTTTATTTTGCATTTATTTTTCCCCATTCTAGGTTATTTTCTTTGGTTCTTGGTCCATTTTGTGTCGTGTCGTGTGTTTTCTTTATTTTGCTCGTGTTTTTGTTTTCTTGTTTCTTTTTCCCGGTTTTCTACATTTTTCTTGTCGGCGGTGATGTGCAGGATAGGTGGTTCGATTGGGAAGTGGCCACGCAAGGATAATTATCTGAACGGATGAGTTGGGGTCGAGTAGGAAAAGACGGAATCAAATTCCGAGCCCAGATGCGTGGATACGAGCCCGTAAATCACAGCCATGTCACAGGAATCCTTCACCGCGGCCCGCGACGTTACTCCCGCGGCCGCGGTGAACAAACCATGCCCAGCGCCCAGTTTTCTTCACCGCGGCCGCAGGGGAGGAAGTCGCAGCCGCAGAAGGCCCGAAAATTTGACACCGGCGGACAGGGCTGAAAAGTCACGGCCGCGGGACATGTCGCGGCCGCGGACCATCCCTTCACCGCGGCCGTGAGCTTGTCCGCGGCCGCGGAACGTGCGATTTCAGATTTTAAAATTGCAGATTTCTTTTGAAACGGATCATTCGTTTTTAGATCTAGTTTTTTGAAGCTCTTGATATTTTTCACCCAAAACTCATACTCTCTCTTGTTTTTGATCTTGGTATTCGATCTTGGAGAGAAAAACTCCGGGATTCGACTTTTGGATTCGATTTGTTCTCGTTTTTTACATTGGATTCATTCATCGTAAGCTTTCATTTGGTTTTATTATTGATTGAATGGCTTTGATTATTATGTTTGTTGATGTTGAATGCATTATGAGTAGCTAAATCCTTTAGCTAGGGTTAAGGGAAGATCATTCCGGTTCGATTTCGTTTATATGCATGATAATTTCTCAATCCTCTCGAGTTGTGCTTAGCCTAGGGTTTTGATGCTTGATCACCATCTCTATCTAATTCATCGATTTTAGAACTGAAAAGGGAGAAATCGTTCGATCTAGGCTCGTTAGGAATAAGCTTGTTCGTAATAGTATTGGTTATGTGTTGATTGTTTCAAGAATTACTCGTTAATGTCTATCCTCTTGTTACGAAGAGTTATTGAGGATAGATATCTAGATGAGTAGTTTAGCGAGACATTTAACCGAGCTCTTGATTGCTCGTTAAGTGTATTGAGAACCGGAATTGATTGACCCTGATACCCTAGCACCTTTATCATAAATTGAATTTGAGTATTAAGTTGTGAACTTGGGATTCTTAGTTTTGTCTAGCTTTTTCAATTACTTGCTTTTCAATTCGTAGTTGATAAAATTAAACCAAACCAATCGAATTAGAGTGTTTAGGACTTCTTTATTATTTCGTGTGATTGAATATACGTACAAAATAACCCGGCTAACCTTCCTCGTGATACGACCCAGTGTCGAATCTTTCGATTCTACTCCGATAAAAATATTTACAACAAATTGGCGCCGTTGCCGGGGAGGGTTTAGGACTTATTTTGTGCGCCTATTCATTTATTTTCAGTGTTTCTCTTGTTTTCTGTGAATACTTGTTTTTGTGTTTCTTTTGTTTACTTCTTTGTCTAGTTGTAGAGATTTTCTTTAATTTCTTTTTCCTTGTTCTTTCTCTCGTCTATCTAGTGCCCGTTACATTTTGTTGTTTGTGTTTATGCGTACCAGGAGTGGTCGCGTAATCATCCCAAACGACGAATCTATCCAGCAGGACCTATGAGACTTGTTGGCTAGTCTCGCTCCAGAGTCATCGGCATCAGAAATCCAAATAGACATGGCACAGAACGAGCAAGACGAGGAAGTTAATAATCCCCCTAGGTCTCTTCTTCGCGATTTGGCCCAACCAGTGATCGGGCCATTGACTTTGTGCATCAGACTAGGGACGACAGCTCGAAACTATGAGCTCAAAACCATCCACTACAACAACTCCCATCCTTCCATGGCCTACCTAACGAAGACCCGCTCCACTTTATACGAGAATTCTATAACGTGCTCCAAACCTTTCCTCTTCACGGGCTGAACGAGGATCAGTTGAAGATGAGGTGCTTTCCAGAGACTCTCAAGGACCGGGCTAAGGCTTGGTTTATGACACTTGCTCCAGATTCTCTTACCACTTGGGAGCAAGTGTACTCAAAGTTCATTGGGAGGTATTACTCCCACCAGAAAACTCAAGAGCTGAGGTCCCAAATTGTCTCGTTTGCTCAACAACCGCACGAGCCACTTCACGAGGCGTGGGAACGCTTCAAGGACCTACAGAGACAATGCCCACATCACAATCTCCCTCCAGCCCTTTTGATGAACGGCTTCTACGATTCTCTCCACCAGAACCTTCAGTACATGGTGGACAATGCAGCTGGTGGAGACATCGGGGCAAGAACGACAGAGGAAATGATGGATATTTTTTAGGCATTGAGCTCTAGCTCGTCTCAAAAGAGCAGTCGAGGGAAGAGAGAGGTGGTCAATGAAGTATCTTCAGGGCGAGACATGATGGCCCATCAGATAGCCGAGCTGACGGAGCAAATGCGGCTAATGAATGCTCGGACAATGCAGCCGGTACAGACTATGGCAGTGGATACATGCGGGGCATGTGGAGCCCAAGGGCACCGATCAGAGGTTTGCCCATCGGCATTCGATCAGGACTTTGGAGAGCAATATGCCGACGTCAATGATCTTCAAGGATATCAGAATCGATAGCCCAATGACCCCTACTCCAACACTTATAATCCAGGATGGAGAAACCACCCACACTTCTCGTGGTCCAACAACAACAACACTCTCCAACCACCTCGTCCAAACTTCAACCAACAGCAGCCTCGACCCAACATCATGCAACAACAATCCCGACCCAACTTCATACCCCGACCAAACTACCAACAACAGCAGCAACCACAACAACAAGCTCAAGGGTCAGGATCGAGCTTGTCAAACCAAGATGACAAGCTGGACAAGATCCTCCAGTTCATCACGAACCAAAATTCATCGATTAAGCGTCTTGAGACGCAAGTGGGCCAACTGGCCACGAGAGTCGGGAACATGGAGGCCGAGTCAATTAAAGGAAAACTTCCGAGCCAGCCCGAGCAAGCAAAGGCGATCACTGTGTTGAGGAGCGAGAAGGAAGTGGACAACAAGGTAAGAATACCCGAGCCTGATGACCCCAAACCAACTGACCAGCCCAAGGAAACCGAGGAGGGCAGAAAGAGCACAGAAACTGACTCGGTAAAACCGTCAGAGAGTCCCTTACTTCACAAGTCTCCAAACCCTTACAAGCCACGTATCCCTTTTCCGAGCCGACTTCGAGATGAGAAACAAGAGCAGCAATTCCGGGACTTACACAACATGCTTTCAAAAGTCAACGTCAACTTACCTCTCCTGGACGTGATCAAAAACATGCCATCTTACGTGAAGTTCTTCAAGGATTTGGTCACGAAGAAGAGGAAGTTTGGAGACGGGGAGAAAGTGGTGGTTTATGAGGCAGTGAGTGCCATGCAGCATGATCTCCCAAAGAAAGAACGGGACCCCAGAGGTTTCGTTATAAGAATTGCTCTAGGGAACGGAAAGGAGGCTTCGGGGATGCTTGACCTCGGAGCGGGAATCAACCTTATGCCGTTCTCGATCTTTCAGCGATTGGGTCTCGGTGACTTGAGACCAACCCGTATGTGCCTCCAGCTGGCTGACCGTTTGATCAGATACCCGAAGGGGGTAGTTGAGGACATCCTTGTTCGTGTCGGGAGACTCATTGTCCCGGTAGACTTTGTCGTTTTGGATGTGGGGGATGTGCACGAGAACGGGAAGGATCACACTATCCTTCTTGGCAGACCGTTTATGGCCACCACCAACACCCTCATTGATGTTAAAAACGGAACCTTGAACATGACAGTCTTAGGCGAGTCCGTCTATATCTCTGTCCAGGAAGCTACGTCCGCATCTTTAGTAAACTTTGTGGAGGAGTGTGCATTTGTTGACGTAAGTGATTCGTTTGTCGAGGAAATGACCATTCGAGACTTAGAGGAGAGGACTATGCCCGATCTTGAAGAAGAAGAGGAGCCCACCATTGAGCTATTTGTAGCAGACGAGCCCGACAAACCGAACCCATCCACACTAGAGCTTAAAGAACTACCTCGCCACCTCAAATATGTGTTCCTCGACGATGAGAAGCAAAAGCCAGTTATCATCTTTGTCGAGCTTAACCGGGACGAAGAGAAGGATTTAATTGAGGTACTTAAGAGGAACCAGAAGGCCATTGGTTGGAGCCTAGGAGACATTAAGGGCATCAGCCCTTCCACGTGCATGCACCGGATCATTCTGGAGGAGGGTGCTAAGCCTTTTCGGGACAGCCAACGGAGGCTCAACCCGAATATGATGGAAGTGGTAAAGAAGGAAGTGCTGAAGCTCTATTCCGAAGGGCTTATCTATCCAGTGGCCGACAACAAGTGGGTGAGTCTTATTCATGTGGTGCCCAAGAAGGAAGGCATTACAGTGATTGAGAATGAGAGAAAGGAGATGGTTCCCACCCGCATTACCACCAGGTGGAGGATGTGCATTGACTACAGGCGACTCAACGCCATGACCAAGAAGGACCATTTCCCGTTGCCGTTTATCGATCAAATTCTCGACCGACTCTCCGGCCACCAGTTCTATTGTTTCTTAGACGGACTCTCGGGCTACTATCAAGTGGCCATAGCTCCGGAGGATCAGCCCAAGACAACCTTCACGTGCCCGTTCGGCACATTTGCCTTAAGACGTATGCCCTTCGGCCTGTGCAATGCACCCGGGACCTTCCAATGGTGCATGTTCTCCATCTTTTCTGATATGCTCGAGGACCGCTTACAGGTATTTATGGATGACTTCTCTATTTTTGGTACTTCATTTTCTAATTGTCTCTATAATTTATCTCGTGTTCTTGAAAGATGCATTGAGTCGAACTTGACTTTGAGTTGGGAGAAAAGTCACTTTATGGTGACTAGTGGTGTTGTGCTAGGTCATGTGGTGTCTAGTCGGGGGATTGAAGTTGACAAAGCCAAAATAGATGTTATTGTAAAACTTCCCCCGCCTGTGAATGTAAAAGGTGTTCCAAGCTTTTTGGGTCATGCTGGCTTCTATAGGAGATTTATTAAGGACTTTTCAAAAATTAGCCAGCCTTTGTGTCACTTGCTTGCTAATGATGTGCCTTTCATATTTGATGATGCATGTGTAGAGGCTTTTGATAAATTGAAGAATAAGCTTGTGACTGCTCCTATCGTGATTGCACCTGATTGGTCTTTACCTTTCGAAATTATGTGTGATGCATCAAACCTTGCTGTGGGGGCCGTTTTGGGCCAACGAGTTGATAAATTGCTTCGTGTGATTTATTATGCTAGTTTGACTCTCAATGGTGCCAAATTGAATTATACTACCACTGAGAAAGAACTTTTGGCTGTTGTGTTTTCTCTTGAAAAATTTAGGTCTTATATCTTGGGATCTAAAGTAATTATGCATTCAGACCATGCAGCCCTTAGGTATCTTTTGAGTAAAACTCAATCGAAACCTAGGCTTATTCGGTGGATTCTTCTTTTGCAAGAGTTTGATGTAGAGATTAGAGATAGAAAAGGGTGTGAAAATGTTGTTGCTGATCATTTGTCTCGTATTATCCCTTCCGAACCTTCACTTGCATTGCATGAACATGTTGGTATAAATGATGACTTTCCATATGAGCATGCGAGTGAAGTGACTAATGTCCCTTGGTATGCTGATATTGTCAATTACTTGTCAGATGGTGTCTTGTTGGCTAACCTCTCTTCCCAAGAGAGGAAACGTTTTGTGTTGATGTGTAGGAGTTACTTTTGGGATGACCCACTCCTCTTCAAGGTGGGAAAGGATGAGATTCTTCGGAGGTGTGTGCCCGAAGAAGAGCAATTGGGCATCCTCACCTTTTGCCATGAGCTTAACTGTGGAGGACATTTTGGAGGACGTAAGACCGCCTTTAAAGTTCTCCAATCAGGTTTATTCTGGCCAAATCTTTATAAGGATACTCATAATTTTTGTAAATCATGTGACCGATGTCAAAGAATTGGGAACATTGGTTCTAGAAATGAAATGCCCCTTGTGAATAATTTGCAAGTTGAGATTTTTGATGTTTGGGGCATTGATTTCATGGGACCATTTCCCAAATCTTTGACTTCGAGTATATCCTCCTTGCTGTAGATTACGTGTCCAAGTGGGTCGAGGCTATCCCCACACGGACATGTGATGCTAATGTGGTTATTAAGTTTTTGCGAGGAAATATCTTGAGCAGGTTTGGATTTCCACGTGCCATTGTGAGCGATGGGGGCAAACATTTCTGTAACCGGATTTTTGAGAAATTGATGAAGAAATACGGAATTTCGCATAAAGTGGCCACCCCATACCATCCACAGACTTCGGCGCAAGCAGAAACGAGCAACAAGCAGATTAAGACTATTCTTGAGAAGACGGTGAATTCGTCTAGGAAGGATTGGTCGAGCTGGCTCGATGATGCACTCTGGGCCCAAAGGACGGCATACAAGGGAGTATTGGGGATGGGCCCGTTCCGGCTCGTCTACGGGAAATCATGCCATTTGCCGGTTGAGATCGAACACAAAGCATTTTGGGCAATCAAAAAGATGAATTTCGATCTTGATGTTGCCGGGCGAGAGAGGATGCTGCAACTCTCGGAATTAGAAGAGTGGAGAAATGAAGCCTACGAGAATTCCAAAATCTACAAGGAAAAGACAAAAAGGCTTCATGATGCCACTCTTGTTCGAAAGAACCTCGAACCCGGAATGAAGGTACTTCTCTTTAATTCTCGCCTTCGTCTTTTTCCCAGAAAGCTCAAATCACGTTGGAGTGGGCCGTATATTGTTGATGAAGTGTTGTCATTTGGAGCTGTCCGTTTGCGTAATCCGGCAAACAACTATTTATTCTTGGTTAACGGGCAGAGAGTGAAACCATATTTTGATGGCGATTTCGGAAAGAGACATGTCGAGACCGTCAGTCTCGGCGACCCTGTCTATGCGTGATCGAGAAATTATGCCGAGCTCACGGCATTAAACCGAATATCCTTTGTACAGCTGTGTATTTATTTTATTTTCTTATATATATATATATATATATATATATATATATATATAAATTGCTGGCCGCGGCCGCGGGCTTCTCTTAGCCGCGGCCGCGGTGATCATTTTTCACGACCCAGATATCTCCCAACAGGCTTGAAATTCCGCGGCCTCGGGAAAAAGTCGCGACCGTGGAGTAAGGTCGCGGCCGCGTAGTATTCTATCGCCACGGCCGCGGCGAGTAAAACCTCCCAGACGAAGAAGCCCGGACAGCGTCAAAATTCCGCGGCCGCGGAGCCATGTCACGGCCGCGGCCAACTAATTATGTCGCGGCCTTGGAAATTTCGCGGCCGCGGGTCTCACGATTTAAGGGGCACGTGAGCAGATTTTTGAGCATATTTTTCATCCTCGCAAAAACTTCTTTCACAGGCGATTTTTCCCATCACAATCGACCATCAATTTCATATACAAATCCCGCAACTTCTCAAGGAATTCGTCCTCACAAATTCGATTTCCTCACCTCGGAAGCTTCAAGAGCAATTGTGGTGCGAATTCGGGGCTTTAGTTCGGAAACCCTACGTTGATTGTCACCTCTGCAATTCCAACCGGAACCCTCTCCGACCGGCGACTCTTGCCGGCGTTCACGTCCGTGACCTCCGACCTTCTATGCCTATTACCTTCTCCGTTCGTAACTCGATATTCGAGCTCATCTCACGGGTCACCTACCTTCGAGAAATCCTCTTCCGGTAATTTCGAATCTTGGTATTGTTGTGAAAAAGTGAACTAGTGAGATTGATTGATGAAGAATTGAGGTTGAGTAGCAACAACTTGGGTGTCCAGCATTGTCTTCTTCATCAAGGATTCATCTCCAAACTTGTGCACCCAAGGTGTTCGACGAATTGCCCGAGAGACGTTTGAAATGGGAAAAACTCCGATTCATCCTACGAAAAAGAAAGCCACTCAAGCCGAACAGGCTAAGAAGAGGAAGGCGGTCGAATCCTCGTCCCGACATGCTCCTTCGGATGATAATCTTTCGAACCAATACGAGGCTCTTTTCCCGATTTATTCCCGGAAGGAAGGAGAGACTTACTCCCGCCTATCGCAAAAAGAGGTTGTGCCGCCAAAACGGTGGATTGGAACCTCTTGAACAACTTGGGCATTCTCGAGGATGTGATGAAATACCTCAAAGTCCTAACCGAGTATGCCAAAATCGAAGAGCCGTCATATAGAGGTTTAAAGCTTGAGTTCTTTAGCTCGTTTGTGCTCGCAGATGGGAACAAGTACTTTACTTGTCGGTTTTGGGGGAAAGAGTACACCGTGGATAATGCGGTGATGAAGCGAGTTTGCGGGTTCAACATGTCCGGGACGAGGCACAAGTCCATTGAGTTCGATGCTAAGAAGTGTTGGGCCGAACTTTCCCCACACACTACTTGGGATTCCGTTGGCATGCCCAACGGACTCATTGAGGACTTAGCCATCGCGGTCGTGCACAAGTTCATTTGTTATAATATTTCCGGAAAGAAAGAGGCGAATAAAGTGAACGAGGTCGAGCTTTTCCTTCTTTGGGCGATGCGAGCAGGAGTGTCGGTGTGCTCTATGACTTTTCTCCAGAACTCTTTGGAGGATATCGCACTCAGTCAGCGTGGTACACCGGCACTTGGACATTTTGTTACTGCGCTGTCCAAGCATTTTGGCGTTGATCAGCAGAATCCCAAGCTTGACTGGTCCAAGGACAAGTCTGAGATGCGTTGCATCAATGAGCACGAGCTCAAGTCGTCAGACCTCATCAAAAGCCGGACTACCCCTCAAGAGTATACGAAGCGCAAGGTCTACACGACCTACTTCAGGAAGCTCCAGCAGCTCCAGCAGAGCGCGTCAAACCCGGACCAGGCAGGGCCGTCTCGACAGCCGACGGGAGGCGACGA